TTTAAAAACACAGAAAGCTGAAAAAAATTTGATTAAATCTATAAAAAGAAAAAGTTTTGAGAAAAGAAAATCTATTAAAAAACAAAACATAAGAATTAAAAAAATGTAATCGATAGAAAAATTCAGTTCAAACAATAAAGCTGAGAAATAGAAAAAAAAGCAGTTACTCTGTAATTTTTTGCAGTTTCATTCCATAATGCATTTTTTTTCTTCAAATTTTTATCTTCAAAACATGGAACCAAACACTCCCATCCTGATCAATACCTAAGTGTTTGCATTTTCAAAGCTAACATTACAACCACACATTTTAATGTTTGCTTTCAAGGTTTTCTGAATCAACCCACAGACTGTTTCTCTGAGGTGCCATCATGATATCCAGGGCAATCATTGGCTCCAGGTGGATAATGAATGATAGATGTAAGTTCAGTTTGTAGTTTGCCACATTAAAACTATAAAATGCCTGCAGCCTGCCTTGTTGCTGGGATGCTTTCCTACAGCAGGGAATTCCTGAAGTGCAAAAACTAGATCCAGTTTAGAATCTCAGGCAAAACCTCAAAATCATTTGAGATGTTCTACATCCACAGATTTTCCTACTTTGCAAATAACGGTGGGAAAAAGTGTTTCATCAATTCTCGTTCTACAAAGTAGGAATATCCTGATCCGATATCAGGTCCCATATTGGCTAATATTGGAATAGATCTACCTGCATCTGTTAGAAACCCTCCCCTTCTGTCGCCTCTGCTTACTATTTCTGTAAGCAATAGATAATTAATAGAGGATTCAGTTGTTCTGAACGTAGAAATGTTCGAGATGTAAATACTTTTGCATGGTACTGTGTAAAACTGTTGTCTTCAGTGATGACACAGAAGAATTATGCCTCATTAGCAGCTATGCAGAATCACATTTCACACAAATCATTTTTACCATCATTTGATTTGTATGTATTACACTGGGAAAAAAACTAATAGTCCATCTATAGCATCTAGGTAAGCTTATTTAGGTACTTTAACATAATTGTTTTATGTCCTACCCTGCTAACATAAAAAAAAAATGTTAAAGTAGCTAAATGTGCTCAAATAGATGCATGAATACTTTTTTAGTGAATGATTTATAATGCAGTCATGACCTAAGAAAGCTTTATGTGATTATTCTTTTAAAACATTCCCAGTACCCAGTTCAGTTTGTATCATTTAAATGCACATATGCTGTTCCATCCTAAAAGCTCCTAAAAGCTGTCTGGACTGTATGATCGCTGCTGCTAAATGTTTGTGATCTGCATCCAGCAGAATCTTTCTCTTCATCGCTCAAAGTGTCATTAAGGGAGCTCAGCTTGTGTTCAACAACGTCAGGCTTGCAGCCTAATGGACAGGATTAAAAAGTAAGGCCGTCATCCTGAACAGATGCCTTTCATTGAGACTGCAGCTTATCTTTAGTCAGAAAATGAGCAGGATTATTACTATACCTCAGCATTATCCAGAAAGATTCATGAAAGAAAACTATTGCTCTTATTTTTATAGTTGTTAAGGTTTTGTTCTTCTAAAATGCCTTTACTTCAAGCCTGGTAATAAAAGTCTTGCTTTTTTACTTATGCTGATTGGAATAGTTTCTAAACTGTGTTTGGCAAATATTTTAGAAGCTTGTTTTACTTGGTGGTTTGTGTAATTTCAGTTTTCCTCTGCTCTATAAGGCCACAGGAAATACTATGTAAAAGAGTCATCGCCCAGAAATCAGTAAAGTCCTCAGAGCCCACTCTCCAATAAGTGGGACGTTCGTTCTTCTCCTTGATGTATGCAGTTCCTGGAAGGGTGGTGACACTTTCTGATGCGCATCTCGTAACGGTGCGCATCAGAAAGTCTTCAAAGGGCCAAACATGGACGCTTTTGCATATAAAGGCAGTGTTTACCAATGCCTTTAAACATCTGGTGTAGAGAGAAACAGAAACCTCTGGCCAATGTTTTGTCCAATATCAGCATTTTTTCCCTGTTTTGCATCGGCTGCAAGACTTTCAGTGGTCTAACATGGATGTTCCCTACAAAATGTTGATCTACTTAAATCAGGGTTTCCGCGGGTCATTAAAAGTCATTAAATCATTATTTTTTAAATTAAGGCCGGAATTGGCATTAAAATTCATTAAATGTGATTATTTTGGCATTTAAAATGCTTTATTAAAATTTTTTTTATAAAAACAATTTCTTAAATGATATATATATTTGCAAATATGCAAATATATCGCGATATATTTGCGCAGAAATGCTTCCGGCTGATCGTCAAGCTGTATGTTTGGTAAAAGAAGCTCAAGGCGGAGAAAAGGCTGTAGAATTGGGAAAATGCTCATTTAAACAAAAGTGGCTGGAAATCGAGGAATTGCTGCCTGCCGACAGTAAAGATGAAGAAGGAATTTGCCGTGTATATATAAGAGTCATGGTTACTTGCATTAAAATTATTTGTAAGAGCATTAAAAGAGCATTAAAAAGCATTAAATTAGAGTTGCTCATTCCTGTATAAACCCTGTAAATGTTCTTTGAATATTTCGAGGTGTGTAACCTTTTTAGCAAACCGAGCAGGATCTCTAATGAATAACCAAACACCCCCAAAGCTTGTTTTAGTGTTTGCTTTGAGAGAAGGTCTCAGTTTTCCAGTTCATGTTTGGTAAACCTGGGTTACCTGAAGCAAAACTAATGATGATACAGAGGTGGTTTCAAATCAGAATAGGAAGGAAGGAAGGAAGGAAGGAAGGAAGGAAGGAAGGAAGGAAGGAAGGAAGGAAGGAAGGAAGGAAGGAAGGAAGGAAGGAAGGAAGGAAGGAAGGAAGGAAGGAAGGAAGGAAGGAAGGAAGGAAGGAAGGAAGGAAGGAAGGAAGGAAGGAATCAGCATCTGGCCTCAGCTTATTCTGCATTAGTTTTTGCAGATTCCATTGTTCATTAATCCCTCTTATTGATGCTTTGTCAGTCATTCCTTTTTAGTGGTCATATGGGAGCAGAAGCAGCGTTATACCATGTTATGAGAGTATCACTTAAAACAGAGTTTTTCCTCTTTTTTTCAAGTCACAAGAAACAATTATTGAGTTTACATTTATTAATCTCCTTAGCATTTGTAGACAATGGAGACCCTCTGTGTAGCTCTGACATTTCCTAAAGGTTTGTGAAAGTGAAATGTTGAGTTCTTAGGAAGGCTTGACTTCTACACCAAAGAGTGTTGCTGAGAGCTCATCCTGATACACCAGAGAATGTGGTGTACTGTGGTCACCAGTCGACACACGGTTTGATGAAGCACTTCCCAGTCAAACACCAGCCAAATGGCAGCCAACTTCCAGCCTCTGGAGTGACCCCCTGCTTCTCCTGGACGAGCATATTTTTTTACTCTGACTCCACCCTGAATTACCGGTTCTGACCAGGAGATGGCACTTCTCCTTAGATCTTAATGTCAACAAATCATGGCAGCATATTTTAGTACAAAGATTGATGTTAGGTGACCAGCCAAGGAAAAGTGGGGAAATATTGAATGGCTGCTACTGTATATGCCAACAGGTTTATGTGGTGGAGGAGCTGGTTTCTATGTATGTTCAGGTGAATTTAGTTAGTTTGGAAATTGGTGTTTGGTTTAGTTTGATGTAGGGCTGCAACATCGAATCGATAAAATCGATAAAAATCGACTTTTAAAAGCGTTGGCAACGAATTTCATCATCGATTAGTTGTGTCGCGCGATTAATGCATCATCCGCCGCCGCCGTCATCACTGCTGCTTGACTGAAAGGGGTAAGAAAAAAAAATTACGGCAGAGCGAGCCAGCACTGCAGGTGCGCAGTGTTGCCAACTCAGCGACTTTGTTGCTATATTTAGCAACTTTTCAGACCCCTCCAGCGACTATTTAAAAAAAAAAAGCGACTAGCGACAAATCTGGCGACTTTTTACGGTGTCACTGGCGGCTTTTGGAGACTCTTACGTGAAAGCATGTATCGTTCCTACAATTGTCCTGCAGCAGCAGCTGCGGCCGTGAGGCGCCTCCCCCATCCCAACCCCGTTCTCCCGCAAGAATCCCTCTCAGCGCTGCAGTCAGAGCCGCAGGATGTTTCAGCGTCCAGACTGCAAATGAAGCGCGCATGCGCCGGGATTGACGGCGCAAATTGATCACAATAATTAAAATAGCCTTTATAAATAAACTAATTTGCAAATTATGAGGGCAAGGCTTTTGAAGTTTAAATCTTCTGGCAAAGATAAAGTAAAGATCCTGCAATTTATGGAAGTAAAGCAGAATAAAATCCAGCAAGATCACTAATATGTCAATTAATTATATGCCACATTACCATGTAAATATCTGTCTTTGGAGGATCTGTTTTTTAGCACCCCTAGTTCTCTCATTTTTATTCCAAATACAATTTATAATTTGAATCACAGGGCTATTTTTATCTCTATGGTTCAGTATTTTCTCAAGTAGCAACTTTAACTGCTATACTTTCCTGTCTTAAAAGGCAGAACTCTATTAGTCTAAAAAAAACTAATTTGTTGAAATGGGGGGACCTATTGTTTAAAGCCCTTAGGGGCTTTAAAAACAAAAATGTCTTTTTTTGCGCTTTATAAAACAAAGTATCCTATATTTTGTGGATGTACAGCTACATTTCTCATGTAAGTTTGCGTAGTTTTAACACAAACATTTATTTTTCATATTGCACCAGAACAGTTAATGAGCAACCTGTACTTGTGTGCTTGTTTGTTCTGTCTAAAATGTTTATTTTGGAAACAAGAGGTTAATACAAAAAATATTTTTTGTCCTATTCATCGATTAATCGAAAAAATAATTGGCCGATTCATCGATTTTTAAAATAATCGTTAGTTGCAGCCCTAGTTTGATGTAAACCAGTCTCTTTTGAGTGTATTTGTTTTTTTTTTTCATTTATTGTTGTTTGCCTAAATTGTCTTAAATTGTCTGAAATCAATTCCTATCAAATCAAATCTGTTGGCCTGAATAACAGAAAATTCTGTTCCTTCCATGTTGATGTTGTAGGTGCTGGACGATCCATCAGAGGACAACCTCTACATGGGTATGAGCCTTTCATTTTCCTAAGCTTTATAATCTGCCTTCCACTTTATTTTCAGCTGCCTCCTATAAGGTATTTAAATCAGAGTTATAGATGAGGGCTGTAATAAAGTTTCTATGTAAACTTAGTGGTGAAAATGAGCTGATTATTCAAACATTCCACCTTACATGTATCCTCTTTGTTTTTCCCTCGTTTTGTTCCTGATAGTGTTTGAGCTGATGCGAAAGGGGTGAGTAAACATGTCTTTTGATTCATTAGAATATGAGTCTCATGCTGTGTTTTTCTCCTTCAGCCTCTGTATCCTGCATGGTTCCCAGCTAACACTGTGAGAGCAGCATCGTTAGCACCTGGATCAGTTGTTACTACAGTTGTTTGGCAAACAAACAACATATTTTGTAAATGAAAAAAAAAGGAATCCAGAAATGAAATTTGCTTCATTATAAAAGAGTTAAAGACTAACTTTCCTGTTTTCTCTGATTTTTTTATTCGAATTTATTTTTCATATTTTATTTTCTTTTTAAATTTTATTTTCTCACTCAACATGTTTGATGATAGATACACTTTAAGTTCATGTTCAGCCTTCATGGTATCCACTGGAACTCTTTCCTCTTCCAATATAGTTAAAAGAAGACATTTTGCTTCTCATCCAGGAAGGGAGATGACAGGAATAGTTCCAGGCTTTTTACAGCAGCCCAACAAAGCATTGTTTTTGCTTAGAAAACATGCAAATTGAACCTGACGAACGGGTCCACCCCTTTGGAATGGAGGTCATTTAGCTTCTTTGTTAGCCTGCAATGCCCCATACCTGTCAATGTCTCTGAAAGGGGGGTCGTTAAAGGGAATTGTTGGCCTGGCTGAAAAGGTGAGGTCATCTGTTCCTCTGTAAAGGGGTTGCGATGATAGCAGGAAGGGATTAACTCAGTTGCTGCATTGCAGGCTTTTAAAAGCTGAAATTTGAGTCCACCCCCTCTGTTTAAGGTTGGTTTTTCTTTCTTAACATACTGTAGATGGCTTCCTACACGCCTCTCACAAAACCCCTGTCTTCTTTGTCCAAAATGTGAACATTCTGGTCCTGAAAAGAACGTCATTTGTCCATAAGGTGTAGATGTACTGCTGAGTCTTGTTTGGAGGAGGTCGCCCTTCTGTGTTGGGCCATGCATCTTTGGAGAGGTTGTTTGGCTTCTCCAATATACACTACCATTCAAAAGTTTGGGGTCACATTGAAATGTCCTTATTTGTACTTTTCAATGAAGATAACTTTAAACTCGTCTTAACTTTAAATAAATAAACTCTATACATTTCTAATGTGGTAAATTACTATTTTAGCTGCAAATGTCTGGTTTTTGGTGCAATATCTACATAGGTGTACAGATGCCCATTTCCAGCAACTATCACTCCAGAGTTCTAATGGTACAATGTGTTTGCTCATTGGCTCAGAAGGCTAATTGATGATTAGAAAACCCTTGTGCAATCATGTTCACACATCTGAAAACAGTTTAGCTCGTTACAGAAGCTACAAAACTGACCTACCTTTGAGCAGATTGACTTTCTGGAGCATCACATTTGTGGGGTCAATTAAATGCTCAAAATGGCCAGAAAAAGAGAATATTAATCTGAAACTCTACAGTTTATTCTTGTTCTTAGGAATGAAGGCTATTCTATGTGAGAAATTGCCAAGAAGTTAAAGATTTCCTACAATGCTGTATACTACTCCCTTCAGAGGACAGCACAAAAAATTTGGGGTCATCCAAAGCAAGCTCATATTTGGTCTGGGGATTTTATCCTTAGGATGCAGTAGTCTGCCTTGAAGCTTATCTTGAGCTAGAGTTACCGGGCAGCAGATCAGTGATTTCCCAAACACAGCCAGAAATGTACACCATGACGACTGGATGAATCATGATCTGCTCTAAAACCACTTACCCCCCTTATATTTGTTTTTTACAGGATAGCAGCCACTGTGCTACAGTAGAATTATTTTAGTCTTTACTGGCTTCATGTTCTCTAAAACTGCTAAAAATGTAAGAAAAATATAACATGTTTTTATTTTTGACTTTATTTTGACGTTAAGGTTGTAGGGAATCTCTTCTTCCTTTTTAATATTAAGCAGTTTCTCTTTCTGAATGAATGAAAATGAATAAAGTTTAATCTTGTCTTTTTGTCCCACTGTGTGCTTCTGTAGGCCAGTGATGGAGGTTCCCGCAGACACTCCTTTCTCAGAGAAGCAAGCTCGCCTGTACATCAGAGACATCATCCTGGGCATTGAGTACTGTAAGTGTCAGACACAGAAAAATTATATTTTTTTATATTTTTGGGGAAATCTGTGAGTAAGTTCAAATGTCTTCTTTTCATACACAGTGTTGTGCTAGAGTTGCTGTGTCTAACATACTTAATTTTAATTTATACACATTTCCTTCACCCAACTTTATATATTTGTGTTTTCGATAAAGGAACAAAATGTTCTTGACG